GAATTTTCAAACCTTTTTACTACTATTTCAGGAATTTTCTCTTATAATTATGCATATATACAATAACAATAAATATTGTAGTGCTTATATAGTTATATATAGCAATAATGATTATTTAATAATAGCAACAAATTGTTCTAAAAACAGAAATAGATTGTTGGTCATTTATTTAGATTAAATAGGTAGTGTATAAGACTCAACATTATAATTTATGAAAGACCTACTCTTAAAAATATTTGTTGGAGCCTAATTGACAAATGCTATTGGTCTTGGTACTATTTGTCCGGCCTGGGGTTTTACTTCATCCCACACCGGAAGGAGATGCAGCATTCCTCCTACCAACACATTATATATATAGACATCCCCTTCTGAAAGAAACATGTGAGCCAGTGGCTCTTCGTAACTTCAATAGGCAGCTCTCCTATGAGGTGGCAGGAAATTAAAGCTAAAAATTAATATTCAGTAGCCCAACACGCCTAAGGCCACGCATATGCATATGCGGGGCGTATTGTTCACGCCTGGCGCCTAAGCAAGCCTAGGCAGCGCCTTTTCGGGCGTTTTAGAACACTGAGTACTACTACTAAAATGTATGAACTGAGGTTTTAGGAAATTTCATTTGTACACTTCTTTTGTACATATTTTCTACATGTCCCTATATTGTGTTGGTATCACAAGACATTTTGGGGGTGTTTGGAACTGATTCTGCTTCTGTTTCTTTTTTAAAGTAAAAGCAGAATCAGAATCAGTTTTCAGAAGCTCTGGTACCCCCCAGCTTCTAAAAAAAATTGATTCTGAGAGTAAATTAGAGCACCAAAAGTGCTTCTGAAATTTCACCCAAACACTCCAACACTCCAGCTTCTGCTTCTGTTCCCTGAAGGAGCAGAATCAGTTTTGAGAATCAGATCCAAACAACCCCTTTGTCTTAAAAATGCAAAAGTTGTTTGGAACACAGACAAAATCTATGGGTCGTGTGCAAAACATGTACAAATGACGTGTACACTAGGAATTACACAAAGTTTTAACCCAAGATTTTTGGGCTGCGCAGGGTCTAAGCAATGCATTAGAGCGTGCATTTAATCATTTTAACAAAAAAAGTGAAGGATGGAGAGAGCTTGTTGGGAAGGATATGAGCATAGATTTCAGTTGGAACTCATCCGCATCGCAGTATGAAGAACTCTACCAAAAGGCTGCAGCTAAAGCAAGATCAGCTTCAACCCGTTCTTGATATTCTTTTATTCTTTCTTCCGTCCAATGCTGTGCGCCTGTGCATCTCTTCTTCATCTATAAGACAACGCATTGCACTTGCACGTGTTTCTGATTAGTTTCAGTTTGTGTACCTCCAGTTTTTTTTCCTTACTCGTCTATGCAATTATGCAATGTATTACATGTATATACATGCACATAGTATACTAGTATAGTATATAATACAATTATATATACAATTAGTTGCACGTGTTTGTGATTAGTTTCATTATTGTATGCTTTATATTCTCATGTGCATTTATGCAAATTATATACGTAGTATATATAAAGAGAGAAATGATTTTATCAGTCCGCTAGATTGAAACTCGCCGTGCGGCAGCCTCCATTTGAAGTGGTTTGGGATGAATTTTTTCGATAAAATTTTGTGAGTATGTTCTTTCTGAAGTGCAGATTATATTCACAAAATTTTAGTTCAAAAATCAATCAGGGTGTCGGTTAAATAAATTATTGAAAAGTGTTATACTACTGCTACTACTAATAAAATGCATGAATTGAACTTTTAGGTTAACATAAAATTTAATTGAGAAGTTAAACAATTTCATAAAAAAATTCCACCTGAAATCACCTTAAATGCAGGTGGACGCATGGCGGGGTTTGACTAGGTGGACTACTGAGATCATTTCTCTCTCTCTGTATATATAAATAAATATAAATTTTGGATCAAATAAAAAGTTTCTTTCACATGAAAAGTAAGCATGAATTTGGTGCTTCGTATTTGAGATCTAATGGCTCTAAATAGGGTTGGACTGGGTCCGGGTTGACCGGCCCGGACCGCCACTGCTTTGCGGTACCGGCCCGAACCAGGGGGGGCTACGGGTAGGCTATTTGATGGACCGGCCTGGCCGGTTCGTGCCCAAAATGTGTGTTTTTTTAAATGGATTGGGTGCTAGGCGGGGTGGGGCTGGGTGGTTTGAGGAGGTTTGGGAGGTAGGAATAAATAAGAAAAACTAAAATCTAATATATATATATATATATATATATATATATATATATATATATATATATATATATATATATATATATAAGACCCGACCCGACCCAGTGCCGAAACCTACCCGAGCCTGTACCAGGCCTCCTGTTCCCAAACACGGTACGGCCCAAAGCCCGACCCGGGTCAAGTCCATCCCTAGCTCTAAATATGTTAAAAATGCATTAAAGTTGATAAAAAAATGTGGTGACATTTTTGTAAATAAATTAATGCTTTCCTTTTTTACTAAAGGTGGACTTCTGCATGCAATAGTGTACCATAAATGATTAAAAATGGATTATAGAGAACTTCTCAATGCAATAGTGTAATGAGATGTTCTAAAGTTGAGGCATTCACACTTTGTTATGTTCGACCCTATATATGGAGAGAGATAAGCAATCAAATACAAACTCCTCATAATCTTTACAAGCCAAAAAACTGATCTTGGTCATCCGTTGAATTGATCAAAAGGTTGAAATCGTACAGTGACACTTGCAAGTTGCAACTCCTTATTTCATTGCAGAATAATATGAAACCCTTTGAACTTTAATATGTGATAGAAATAGCGTAAAGATGCATCATACAAATATTTGCACAATAAGCATTGTTTGTACTCGATTCGCCCTATATATAGGGAAATTATCTCGTGAAAAGTGTGTATTTGGTTGAAAATTGTGAAGTAATGTAAATGTTGTAAAAGTTATATATTTGGATTTATAAATTACATTTAACAAATTAATAGTTAATTATAAAAAACTATCTTGAATTCAATTATTATGACTCTCTAAAAATAATAATTCTAGGGTATCAAGACACTGGGGCTATATGGTTGGCACAACGAGCTGAAGCTAGAGGCTAATGTCTGAATTAAGGCCTATTGTCTAAATCATAAACTATTGTCTGCAGCTGAGCTTTGAAGTACTAAATTTAAACTGCTAGCTGAATGAAGTAGACCCGTTTGACAAAAAGAGCTAAAAAATTGTCTGAATAATATGAATTGCCATTAAAGGGCATATGAATAATATAATTAATTCTGTTGGGTTAATGGCCCAATCAAAGGATCGGCCCATTACCCCTACTTAGACGAACGTCTTGGCCCATGGAGTGGCGTACCCCGACACTCATCTAGGCCCAAGGAAGGGACGCATCTCAGTACAAAGGACGAGGCGACGAACGTCTCCACCTATGATCCACACCCATGAGGGGTCCTCTTCAAGCAACATGACAAATTCTGCCAAGGGCCAGAATACGAACGGTCGCAACCTTCTGTGGCATCGTCAGGAGCATGCACCAGAACTAAATGAACGTCCGTCTCCACGGATTAGGCGGGAAACCTAGATTCTGGCGGGAGGCGCATTTAATGCTGGGGATTTGGTGGTTGAGACATCAGCCACTCACAGCCTTCCACATCAGCATAGTCAACTGCTCATTGGTAGTATAAATAGTAGCATTTATTTCATTATAAGGGATTGACAACTTATCATCCTTAGCACTCTAGCTTATTACTCGCAGCTCTTCTACTACAGTAGAATACGAACGGCCTTCGGCCTTAGCAAGTGTATTGTATCGGGGCGTTATTAATTATTAATAATATCTGATCCTTTACTTATTCGTAATTCTCTTAGCCCATCTTACTTGTTGTTGGATCAGTTAATCTACCATACTTAAACAATCTACTCGAAATCTTTGGGCTTACGTGTTGGACCCGAGGGTTGAAAGAATAAACTTCAACAATAAATATTTATATTTTAATAAATATTAAGATTGTAGCACATATTTATATGTGTGTACGTATATAAGAAAATATGGTACATTGAATACAAAAAAAATTATAAACATTTCTGTATATGAAAAATAAAAATATATCAGTCACGACTTCTATTGGAGTACCATTTCCCATCATTTCACATATTTGTGATATTATAATTGAAAAAAAAAAGAAACCTAAGTCTTGTGGTTTGTGTACGTTGCAGGTGAGCAATTAAGAATTGGAATGAAGAACGGAATAGACGATCAGACGAGGAATCACAATGGCAGTGCAAGGATATTTTAGGTATGAACGGGTATTATATCACCGACTTATTAGAAACGTTAGGTTCCCAAGCGTTTGAGTCCAGACATTTTTTTCCAACTTCAGCTAAGTGTAGACTGTTATCCAAACGGGACTACTAATAAAATTATGGGCTGAATTTAGGAAATTTCTGCCCATTATGAACTGAATTCTCATGCCAAACATAGCCTAGGTATAACATGAATGAACTTGTCAAAGATCTCACCTATTTATATGAACTATGATGTCCATATAAATAGAGACAAGTTGTCTGTAAGAAAAATTAAAAATGAAAACGAAGTAAATTTCTAGATTTATAAATTAATAAATTCAAAGCAGTACATGTGCACAGACATTAGTTGTCTGTACACAAACATTTTTTGTATGTTGGAAATAACTCATGTCTGTATACGTCAAACTATTTTTTGCGCATAGGTATTGGTTTGCGTGCAATTGACGCGTACTCTACAAAAAAAAACACAAATTGATGTGAATAGTATTTTAATCAGTTTTTTATTTCAAGGAAAGCAATGTCTGTGCACAAACAACTATTGTTTGTGCACAAACAACTATTGTTTGTGCACAGTTATTTCTAGTATGTTGCAAACAACTAATGTATGCTTATGTCAGCATTATTTGTCTGTGCACAAACAACTTATTTCTGCGCACAAACAAATTAGTTTTGTGCACATACAACTAATATTTGTGCACAAACATTGGTTTGAATATACTAATATATCAATTTTATTTTCCGACGACGTTTCATTAATGATTATCTTTCCAATTTCTAAAAAACTTGAAGATTTGAGTAAGATAGAATATGGTAAACTTGTCACACTAGTAATTTTCTATATTTTGGACGAATCTCCAATAAATACTACCTCCGTAACGTAAATATCTTCTCACTTTCCTTTTTAAGACGTAACACTAATATCTTCCCATTTCTAAATCTTCTCATCATACCCTCAATAATTTTAAAAATAATACACTATTACACCTACTTTTTTTGGATTTATCCTTCATTCCATCACATTATTTCACTATCTTCCCATCATACCCCTAATAATACATATCTCCTTTCACTATTCTTAATCTACCTACTTTTCAAATTGGAACATCCCAATGTTACGGAGGTAGTATATAAATAAGAAAAAAGAAGACGAAAAGGAGATATGATGATTATATAATAAAGAAATGAAAAAGAATGAGAAAAAAGAAATAAAAAGAGAGGAAGTGGTGAGTGAGTATGAAAGGAGGGGGAGAGGAATGTGGGAAGAGAGAGAAAGGAGTGAGGGAAATATGAGAAAGAAGTGGGAGGGTAATTTTTGTTTTCCTATTTATATGGTGTAGACAAAGCATAATTGCCAAGTTAATTATTGCCCCATTATGTGTGTTCCTTCCCCTTCTACTCTTGTCATGTGCGAAATGGTTTCACCATCTCAACACTCCTACTCACTTCTTGTGGGCAAAATCTCTCTACATAACCTTAGGGGTGGACCGGGCCCGGTCCAGTTCCGGTTCGAGCCTAGATCTGGGCCCGGCCAGGTTTGGATGGTTTTGAGTAAGGTCCGAGACCGACCCGAGAGTCTACCGGTTCCGGTGTAATTTTTTTTTGTGTTTTCTGATTTATTTCAACCCCCACCCCCAAATCCCTCGAAAACACCCAGCCCACCTAAACCTAGCCCAAATCCAAAAAAAACCAAAAACATAATAATAAAAGGTCTTAACTGTGTCCATGCCTACATGACCTCCCGTAGTCCCGTAACACCCCAAAATACGATGTGTAAGCTTTATCAATTGCATTTTATAAATTTGTGAGATGTATAAAGGTTATAAATTTTATGAGTCACTTTCTATAAATAGTGTGACACATAAAAGTGAATGTAAACAAGGAGATACACCTTATGTAGGGATGGACTCGGGCCGGGCGGCCCGGCCCGGAACCGGCCCGGCCCAGTTACTGTTTGAACCGGCCCGGCCCGGGAACCGGTCCGGGGGGCGGTTCGGGTCAGCCCGGCCCGGTTATTGTGCGGCTCGGGCCCTTTGATTGGCGAACCGGCCCGGCCGGTTCGGGCCAAATTAATTTTTTTTTTTTTTTTGAATTTTTTTTAAGTTTTTGGGTTGGGCTTGGTATTTTGGTCCATTTGAGGTGGTTTGGGGTGGCTTGGGGGTGAGGGGGGAGGGTTGGGGGTTAATTAGGTAAAGCCAAAAAAAAAATAGAACCGAGGCCCGGCCCGGACCCGGGATTACCCGGGCCGGTTCCGGGCCTCCCATTTCTGAACCGAGGCCCGGCCGGGCCCAGGCCCGAACCGGGCCCGAACCGGGCCCGAACCGGAACCGGTCCACCCATAACCTTATGTATCACTTACTATTGAATCCCACACATGAATTTAAAGTATATTCATCCCACAAGGCCACATTTCAGACTTAAATGGGGCATATACAATAGTAGTAAAATAGACATGTGTGGACGTTTGCTAGAATAAACAAGACCTAAAAACAAATAAATGTGCCACCATGAGCCAAGTATCGAACCAGGCGGGCTTGTTAAATCGGTCTTGCCCCCATCCCACTTTTTGGCTCCACTCCGTCCATGTCAATGAATCTATGAACGGACCCTCCACCAATTGCCTCATAAATAAATGGAGAGACAAGAAAGTTAATTAGCACCGCAGTCATCGTCTATATCCTTTTTCTTACCCGGAGAGAGGAGCTGCGCTGGGCCGGTTGTACGTTAGAAGGCAGGCAATAAAGAAAGATGAGAAGATAAATAAATACATGCGCATGCAACAAGCTGTTTGTGATTCTTAGATATGTATATGCAGACAGATAGACGACAGATGCAGAAATTAAATTCACAGATTACAACCAAAGCAAATTAATTAAAGTCTCATGTCATAATAACAGCAAATTAAACACATCACAGATCTTCTCAATGAATTCACTTTCCGGGAGCAAAGTTAGTGGCAAATGCCCAGGCGTTGTTGTTAACAGGGTCGGCAAGGTGGTCGGCGAGGTTCTCCAGCGGCCCCTTTCCGGTCACAATGGCCTGGACGAAGAAGCCGAACATCGAAAACATAGCCAGCCTCCCGTTCTTGATCTCCTTCACCTTCAGCTCCGCGAAGGCCTCCGGGTCGTCAGCCAGACCGAGCGGGTCGAAGCTTCCGCCCGGGTAGAGCGGGTCGGTGACCTCTCCGAGCGGGCCTCCGGCGACGCGGTAGCCCTCCACGGCTCCCATCAGGATGACCTGGCAAGCCCAGATGGCCAAGATGCTCTGCGCGTGGATCAGGCTCGGGTTCCCCAAGTAATCCAGGCCTCCTTCGCTGAAGATCTGGGCTCCGGCCTTGAACCACACCGCCTCCCCGAACTTCACCCCGTTCCGGGCCAGCAGCTCCGGGAAGATGCAGCCCAGCGCGCCCAGCATCGCCCACCTGCTGTGGATCACCTCCAGCTCCCGGTTCCTCGCGAACGTCTCCGGGTCCGCGGACAGACCCGCGGTGTCCCATCCGTAGTCGCCCGGGAACTCGCCGTTCAGGTAGCTCGGCGCCTCCCCGGAGAACGGGCCCAGGTACTTGACGCGGTCGGGGCCGTACCACGGGCTGCCGGACGGAACTGATGATCGGAAGCCAGTCCTTGACGAAGTGGTTCTCCTCATGGTGATCTTGGGGGCCACCCGGGACCTGCCCGCCTTTCCGGCGGCGGCGGCGGCGTAGGAAGGAGAAGAGAGAGCCATGGCGGTAGAAGCTGCCATTCCAACTGTACTGCAGCGAGTGAGTGAAGGTAGATGAGAATTGAAGTAGATGAGAAAGGTTGCTTGATAACCATAATTATCGATGGATCTGATGAGCTATTTATTTATGTGGAGTCCAAAAATGGATGCCCTTCCTTATCTCCTAGGATCTCAATCTTGAACTCCATTGGTTGAATATTTTTGAATGGTTGAAAATGGCCCTCCATTTGGCCTTCTCAACTTTCTTTTCTGTGGATAATGAACCACCAAAATGTCGATACCACCAACGCAGCAACCACTCATCTTTTGCCATCTGTCAATCGGATTGCTCCAAATCTTCACAGATTCCAAATGCCGATCAGCCAACTTTTTGTAATGTACACTAGCTGTTTTGTAATTTTAGTCCCGTTCTTACTTATCTTACTTTGGTTTTTGAACGTTTACTAAATAAATGTTTCATTTCATTTTATTAAAGAAATATGTGATCCATAACATTTTAAATAATTATACTCAAGTTTGAATCACAATTTTTATTTTTAACCTATTTACGGAGTATTAATTATTGCACCAAAACAAAGTAGGACACATAAAACAGAACGAGGGTAACATTTTTTATTTTACACACTGAATGGTATAATAATCAAAATAAGTAAGATCGAAGTTACAAGAGTGCATAATCAGAAAGCATTCCTCTATTACTTTTAGGAAAAGTTGACACGAATAATTACATCTTTGGGCGATCTTCTCATAATAATCTCATTTTACGTAATTTAAGAATAATCTCACATTTGCACTCCTTCTTTCATGGGATCTTGACAGGTTGGTGACCTACTATACCAAGTTTTTTGCATTTGTTTTGGAAAACTTACACAAATAATCTCACCTTTCACAAATATGTTCAAAAGAGTCCTATGTTTCATTTTTTCTCTTTTCCCTCTAAAACTTTTCTTTCTTTATTTTATCCATAGACACTTTTTTTATTCTTTTTCAATCATTTTGTTCTTATTTCTTTTTCATATTTATTATTCTATTTCTCAATCTATTGGAAGTTTTTTTTTGTAAAATCAATTTCGTTCCCAAAAACATTTTTTTGTCATTTTCTTTTTCTTCCCATATTTTTATTTCATTTCTTAGTCATTCTTTTTTATTAAAGATCCTTTTTCTCATTCTACTTTTTATTTTAATCTCATCTTGGTACGTTTTTAAATGTTTTATCTTCTTTCTCCTTGTTATCTTAATTTCTTCATCAATATTTTTTTTCTCTTTTCTTCATTACCGTATTTTTCTAAGTAAATCCACTCATTAATTCTATCAATTGTGGGAAGAACTCTCTGTGATAAAAATTAGAGCAAAGTAAAAAATCACGAAAAATAAAGCAATCGTAAATTGCATCAACTAACTCTTGGGATATGATATTACAAATAATAGAACTTATATCCTTGCAAGATATGATATTACAAATAATAGAACTTATATCCTTGCAATCTCACTGCTGCATGCAGTCATGCAGATTGATCATCGTGCCATTTTGCTTAGGCTTGAGAGGGATGACTGAACCTCTTCCATGTCTGGCCGATCTTCAGGGTCTGTTGAAGTGCAAGACAAAGCTAAGCTTAGAACTTCTCGCATTGCACCCTCGTTCTTTGAAACACTTGTGGCTAGATAAGGATCAAGAATCTGAAGTAACCCCTTGCTGCCGCTGCTATCAGCAATGGCTTTCTCCACGAGTTGATGCAATGTGATTGGCTGATGATCATCCTCCCCTATATGCCCAGTTGGCCTTCTCTTTGTCATGAGCTCCATGGCTATTACGCCGAAACTGAATACATCCACTTTCGTTGATACTTTCCTCATATACGCAAACTCTGCAACACACATGAACTTTTTATTTGTACTTAATTTTGCATCATATGCATTTCACCCTTCATTTCCTAGAAGTTCTCTTTTTCACAAAGCTTTTGAATAATTAAGTTTTTACAATTCAAAAGGTACTTCCTCAAATTCTTATCTTTATGTTCGGCAAAAGTTATTCATATATTCTGGAGCTCATATTTGGGAGTGAATTTAGATCTCCCCCGACCTTGTTTGGAGCTAATATCATTGGCAAAGTATTTTGACAAAAAATAGCTTAGATTTAGAAAGAATTCCTACTTCATGTTGAAAATTCCTTGAAATTATGTTTACTACGTATTGTTTTACAAAACATAAATGAAATTGGATTACATTATAAAAAGTTAAAAGCAAATCAATACAACATTAGAACTACAAAGTTTTATTTTACACTCTTTTATTTGCAAATTAGAACTTTATAAATAAATTATTATCAAATATGGAGTACTGTTAATAGAAGAATATTGGGAAGAAGAAGAAGAAGAAGAAGACCTGGTGCAATGTATCCAATTGTTCCTTCAAATGCCGATGAAATGCTGCTGCTGAGTTCATGAATTCCCAACATTCGAGCAGTCCCGAAATCGCTGATCCGGGTATTCAAATGGCTGTCCAACAGAATATTAGAAGGCTTCAGGTCACAGTGAACTATGGGAAAATCATAACCCGAATGCAGGTACGTCAACCCTCGTGCGACCGATACCAAAACCTCAATCCTCTTTGACAGTGTCATCACCATCCTTACAGGTTCGTCGTCAACACCACTGTGTATGATTCTGTCCAAGTTCCCCTTCTCCATGTACTCTAAAACCAAAGCTTTCATCTTCTGGCTCTCCCACGCATAACCGCAAACCTTGACTAGATTCATGTGTCGCAGTCGGCTTAGAGTCTTGACTTCTCTGTCCCAACACTTGTCCGATTCTGCTGAAAACTGTTTCAAGTTCAGTACCTTAATTGCCACAACCTGTCCATTCTCAAGCACGCCTCTGTAGACGGTGCTTAAACTGCTGGATCCTATGATGTTATCTTCACTGAATGAATCAGTGGCGGTTCCCAGTTCCTCTCTGGTATATCTCTTGAGGCTCAATGCAGCGGTCATTTCTGGAACTTTGCTTTTACTGTCTTTAACTTTTCGCTTAAAGATGAGCTGGTGTAGCAGTAGAGAAATCGCCAGTGACAGGAGAATGAGAACAAGAATAGAAGCCAGAGCTGCGAGAATGGTTATGTTTCGTCTTGACAATTTATGAGAATTCAGACGGTTGCAAGGCTTGAGCAACTGTTCTCCACACAGAGATGGATTTCCATCCAGATCTGTAGGACTAATATTTACAAATACACCTGTCCCTGGAATATGACCTTCAAGTTGGTTGAATGAAAGGTTGAGATGCTTTAAGGTACTGATATTGGCAAGGGTTTCTGGAATAGTGCCATTGAAATTGTTGTGAGAAAGGTCTAGAGATTGAAGATGTGGCATTCTTGCTAAACTTTCAGGAATTTCGCTGTGTAGTTGGTTATATGATAGGTTTAAGCTCACGATTTCGCTAAATCCACTGAAAACAGCATCCGGAATCTTACCAGATATATTGTTTCTGGAGAGATCAATAGAGAATAAGTTTCTGCAGTTCTTTAACGAACTGGAGACACTTCCTGAGAAGTTGTTGTTTGACAAGTCTATGGCTTGCACCATTTCCAACTTCCCGATCTCCTCCGGAATCTTCCCCTCCAAGTAGTTGTTTGACAGGTTAAAATAAAGTTGTAGACCTTTCATGCTTCCCACGAACCAAGGATCAAGATTTCCAGCGAGTCTGTTGTGTGACAAATCCAACACCACGAGCCTGCTAAGACGCATCATGTTTTTCGGGATTGTCCCATTTAACATGTTGCCGCTAAGATCAAGCTGAGAAAGCAACTCAAGTTTCGTGACAGAATCTGGAATCGGACCTACCAATCTGTTGTTCTGCAAATGGAGATATGTGAGCTGTTTAAGATCTACAAAGAGCTTATTGGGGATAAGCCCTTCCAACTCATTGTCAAAAAGTGTAAGCCCTTGCAGGTTTTTAAGCTTCGAGAGCTCAATCGGGATAACACCTGAAAACTCATTTTTATGTAACACTAAATCCCTCAGATTCGTCAAATTTCCTATCTCTCTCGGGATATTGCCAATGAACGAGTTGTCACGCGCCCTTAGGATACGCAGATTGAATAGACCCCCTATGTTTGGTTTCATCTTTCCATTGAAATTATTCTGACTTAAGTCTAAAACTTGAAGCATTTTGAGGTTGAAAAAGTCATCCGGGATTTCACCAGACAGCTCATTTCCCCCCAAAGATAGGTAGCTGAGATTCCCTAACTGCCCCAACCCTTGCGGAATTCTTCCAGAGATCCTATTATTAGTGAGAGTTATGGTCAGTAGACTTGTACAGTTGATGATACTAGAAGGAATTGGCCCTTCCAAGAGGTTATCGTTCATCGTAAGGTTAAGCAAATTGTATAACATTCCTATGTCAGTAGGGATTGGTCCTGAGAAAGAATTGAACCCAAGGGAGAGATATGTTAAGGTTGTCACCTTTGTTATGGATGGAGGAACAGGGCCAGTGAACCTATTTGAGTGGAGGGTAAGAACTTGTAGTGATGGTAAGGATCCCAAAGCAGAAGGAATGTGCCCAGATAACTCATTCTGCGACAGCCCCAAAACAGTTAATAGTTTCAATTTAAACAACTCTCCAGGAATCGTGGAGTTCAGCTGATTCTTGTACAACCTTAAAATTTCCAAATTTTCTAAATTTCCCATCTCAGGAGGAATAAGGCCCGTGAAGTGATTGTTGTACATGTTCAAAATAGATAGATTCCTACATAAACCAATCTGAGATGGGATATTCCCTGAAAGGAGATTCAAATGCAACTGAAGAAAACGTAAACTGGACATGTTACCCATTTCTGGAGGTAAAGGTCCTGCTAATTGGTTTTGGCTAAGATCGAAAGCCTGCAAATTTGTCAGCATCCCAATGGATTTGGGTATGGGTCCAGCTAAGTTGTTACCATAGGCAACAAGAATCTCAATCTGAACTAAATGACCAATATTTTCGGGTATTTTCCCAGTGAAGTTATTGAATATGAGGCTCATCTGTAAAATGGAAGTGGAATTGAACAAGCTATAAGGTATGGTTCCATCCAGAAAATTATTCCCAAAATCTAGAACCTGAAGGTTTCCAAGTCTGCCTAGCTCAAAGGGGATTTCACCAGAAAGATGGTTTTGAAAAAGAATGAGCTGGACAAGGTCTGAACATAGCCCCA